GAGCTTCACTTTGTTTGTCAAATCTTCGCTTTAGTTTGTACCTCGATGGCGTCGTCATACGTCTTCCGAGCCTCCGTATCCGTCTTGTCTGACATGAGCCACGCCTTCAGCAGGTATTCGTAAAAACTGTCCCCGAGTCCTCCGACTGAGGTGTGATCTGCACAGAGAGAGGCGGAGGAGGGGGGGGGGAGAGAAAAACTGTTGAAAACAGCCGGGTAAAAGGACACAAAGGGAGAGAGAGTGACAAAGCAGGAAACAGCGAGACGCAGACAAAACGAGAGAGTCAAAGTGAATTATTCATTTTTCGACTGTGCCTCAAAGTCCTTGGCAGAGCACAACATATGGCATGAAAAGCATCTATCCGAGCCCTCTGTCTTTTTTCTCCTCGACACCCACAATATATTGGCAGCGTGTTTCCTCTCATTTCCTGTTTTGTTTACCCTGTCCCTGATAAGCTCACATTTCAATGTCCCCAGTCGTCCCCTTGGAAGTTTGCACAGCTTTCATGTCTGTCCTAATTTGCAGGACACCGCATAGTGAAGATGGGACATTAGCCAGCCGCCGCTAACAAAACAAACTCTTTTCTCCGGAGGGTTTTTTCTGAGTCCACTTCGTTTTTAATGGCACTTTGGTTCATTTCAGGGGCGATTTCACTGACCTTGTTTAAGAGAAGACAATAACACAGCTAAGATTCATCATCTCATCGTGACAGTGAAGGTAAGAAAATTATGAATACAGTTTGTGTAGATACAAACACACAAGCACTATAGTTTAAGGGATATCCAGTGATTCAACTGTAAATGGTCTTTTCATCATAACCAGTGATGGAGACGATTAAAGCAACATTATGAAACGTATTAACTTAAGTTAGCAGCTTTATTAAAACGAGTTCGAAGGTTCAGTGAGTGTGAACGTGGAGAACGTTTCCTCCTTCACTCCCCGAACGTCTGTTCTCTGTAACTCTGAAACGAAGGAATATGCAAAGACGGAACGAGACAGACGAGGAATCGATGGACGGAGTCAATCGAGGGCGGGTGCACGTGTGTATCACACGGGTACGTCATGTGTACGTCATGTGTACATAAAAGAACATTTTGTACAAACTCATTTTAAATACACACATTGAGAGATGGCTTGTTACCAATTCACTCGCAAATGGAAATAAGATCTGAAGTCATGTTCACCATGTTGTTCTAGGGTCGTGTAAATAAGCAGATTCAGTCGAATTCAATCTCTTTATTGTGACTGAGCCAACTACAGGTGCGACACTGACTTATAGTGTTTACAGGTCTTTAGCGCTGCTGCTATCAAGTGTTTTATGATATAACAACATTAGCACTGCGGCCCTCACACTGACCGAGACTTCCTCTGGGGTGTTGTGGGTCTTATTTGGCAGTTAATGATGCATATGTATAAAATTAAATGTTTTCATCAACGTAGCATGAATACTGTCGATTCACGAATTCCCCCGCTTCGGCCGTGGCACTCATGCTATTCTATCCTGAGTGGGAAACAACCAGCAGACCTGGATGGAAGCTGGCGAATGTAGTTCTGCTCTGCCAGCCTCTGGCAGGTCACCAGTTCTTTTCTGGTCCTCTTCCACGCGACACGATAAAAGAGAAAACCCTCTTTTGTAGGTCGACTGCGGCAGCGTTTCACCTTTGTTCCCTTGGCTGGAAAAGAACGTGTTTGTGGAGTTCGTCCTGGTGAACATTCTCTGACCAGCTATTCATGAAAACATCCTGCACACCGTCAACGTGCCTCCGTGTAAAATGCTCTTTGCGTATGTCTCCTCTGACTTAACGAGTCATTTCTGCAGTAAAATATGTGAAAACAACAATGAAGCAAAACTATTTAATTAAAACACAAAACCCTGATGTGGCAAACGAAGCACAAGACACAAATAAGTGAAAGTAAAACACAGCATCAGACCGGAGGAAAGACGGAACCACCCACAGCTCACAGAGGGACGGAATGTAAGGAGGAAAATTACAAGACAGCGAGATTAAAATACTAATTAGCATTAGTGCTCCTTTAAATGTGCGGTCTGATGTTTTTTTGTATTTTGTTTCACGATCACCTCTCACAATATTTCAACTTCGCATCCACCCACACATGCACTCCCACTTTCCTGCCGATGACAAAGCTCAGGGTCAGACAGGGAGTGCCTGTCAATCAAAGCCAGGTTTCTAACCCACACTCAAGCGTCGACACAGACGCATGTACACAACGAGACGTCGGCACAAAGGTTCAAACACAATTTGAAACCAAGGGCACAAGCTGCTAGAAATATCTGTATGTTATCGAGACGGTTTAATTTATGTCTCCTCTGTTCAACTCACTCAAGAACACGACGATGTTTCAGGCTCTACTACGTTTAATTTACAGCCGACGTGTCCGAGTGTAAGATATAACCCACCATAATTAACGACTGATTCAAGTTACTGGAGAGTAAAGAAATTAATTAAAAATTTAAAAAGTCGCTTGATTTCCTTTTTTCAGTAAATCTGGAGTCGGGTTCACTGCCGGCTGTTTTCCCAGCTGGAAAAAAAAAAGAAGAAAAGAGGCCAATGAAGCTTTGTAGATGGAATTAAGAATAAAGAAAATGTTCCTGTGCCAGAAAAACATCAAACTACTTCAAATGAGCCAGAGTTCGAAGTAAAGGATATTTTTTTAATTGTGAAAAACTTTATATCTGGATAGTGGGAGGAGGTGGAGATGTGTTGTCTTCAGTCACAGTCGGATCATCACGATGTGCTGGTCAGAAGTGGTGAATTTGCCTCCAGGGTCAGACTCTCTTGTAAATCACTGTTCTGAAGCATCTGAGGGACACTCGGCACAAATGAACTGAACTGCTGCATGATGGGAACTTTGCGCTCCGTTGTAAGTTGGAGCAGCTGGAAAACTCGCAGGTTTCTTAGGTTTTACCCAAAGAGAAATTCAAGGTGAAGCGACGGCACTTTGAAGGAGATCCGACAGGAGCCACAGATGGTGCTCCACGTGCTCACGCATCAGGACTTCCAGACGGCTCCTGGTGTGGCGGGAGCGCCGGGATAGCGTCCAATTTTAAATCAGGTACTTTGCGATTGCGGCTCGTACGGTTGGTTTGTGGTTAAGCGGCTGCTGATGGGAGACAAGGGCAAGGAAATTACTTTTACCTACCTTAACTTTTCTGGAGTTCTGTACAACACAACATGAAAAGTGTTTCCTCCTGTTTCAGAGATTTAACGATATGGAGATCTAGCGATGAAAGTTTGAAAGAGGGAGTGGAAGGCACATGTGTGTGTGTGTGGGAAGCAGAGTATTATGGGAAGACAGGGGAGTGTGTGTGTTAATAAGACTGTCAGTCACAGCCGGATCTCATTAAGACGGAGGAGCTCGGCCTCATTCCTCATTAGTCTGGCTTAACTACTGTCTATACACCTACACACTCGCAGCAAGGAACACGCGGGGTGATGCATTTGTCGACACATGCTTGCAACCCTTTCAAACACTTCACACGTCGTCTCCAACGCAGGCACGCGTTCACATACAGTCCTCACCCGATACTAACAGCTACTCACACACGTGCACACACACACATGCACCCACACACACATGCATGCATTAAACGAGGACTGTCACTTTTTAAAGCATTCATTCCAAGTGGAGGGAAAAGTACAATGACGGAGGACGGGAGCAAACAAAGACGTCCTGAGACTGTTTGTCGTGTTCACCTCACTCTCCAACGATGATCTGCAGGCTCACCTGGAGGAGGCACCACAGACCAGCAGAGCAACGTCCACTGTTCAATCTCGTTTGACTGCGTGCGTGGGGGTAGAGCGGTCGGGTATTGGAATATTTTCAAACATGTATTCGTTTTTTAACTATTTCAACAAACGTGACGGTTGTTTTCTCGTCCCGGCGGCTTATACAACATGGGAACCCTGCCGCCGCAGACAGATCTTTGCTGGTGGTTTGTGTTCATTTTGTTCCCAGACTCCGGGGCACATAAATCTAGAGTGAGACATCCTCCCTGCCTCTCGCTCGCCAGTCGAGAGAGCTGAGTCCAAAGGGCTCTGTAATGAATTCAAATGGATGAGCGTGTCCCTGGTCGACTCTGCAGCAGTTACAGGTGTTCGAAAACAAGCACGTCCTGACAACAACCCGTTATTCACACACACACACGGTGCATTTATCTGAGCAGAGTCATTTTCTGCCGTCCTGAATGTGCGAATGTAATGACGTTGATATTTCAGCCGGTCTGAAAGAGAGATCTGTGTCGTATAACACCGTTCATGACAAAATGTGTTGAACAGCACTGATGATGAATAACGAGGATGTGTCTGACCTGCTTCTGACTAAAACTGAATTTCTTCCATAAAGGAGGTCGCGCTCTCGCCTCCTGTTCATTTGTTTGCTTGTTGGTGGGTTCGTCAGCAGGATCATGTGAAAACTACACAACGGATTTCCTCCGAACTTGGAGGAAGGATGTGACGTGGGCCAAGAAAGAACCAATTCAATTTTAAAATTCAAAGGATCCAGAGAGGAATACTTATTAAACCACTTGTTTCTCTTAATCAGGGCTACGTGGGTCAAGTCACCGAGTAGTTCCACATAATAAATGTCACTCTACTGCTGCCCCCTAGTGGTTTGAAAAGGTTGAGTGTTCTTCATATATATATAAATAAATACCTGCAGTATTTTATTGTCCTTCAAGAAAAAGTTACACACAAGAACTAATGATTTGCTTCATGACTATTTAGGGCTGAGGTTTGTTGTGGAGTAGCACTGAACTCTAATTAAACACGTGTTGTCATCAACAGCTTGTTCGGTCAACAAGGTTGAGAGGCAGCTCATTAGCGTGTCCTCGCCTACGACCACAATGAACGCACAAATAGATTAATGGATACGCAGGAGGAGGCTGTGCTCTTAACACAAAGTATATTTTTATAATAGAAATAAAGTTTCACTCAGTGACTCACACACACAAACAGAAAACATCATCACCTGCTCGGCCAGGCAGCTCGCCAGCTAACTATCCATCTGTTAATGGACTCATCAATCCATCCATCAATCTGCCCTCCCTCCATCTTCCATCCATTTATTTTTTTTCCTGCCTCTGGCCCCAAGTCTGTGCACTTACAAGAGCATCGGTCTGACTGTCAACCTGTCCGTCCATTAACGAGCCTCTCCATTTCTCCACCCGTGCATGAGCGCCCGCCATTTGTTTTGTCGACGTGTAGAACAAATACAAACAGTTTGCATCTTCATGGACGACCTCCGTTATTAGAACTAGTTGCTAAAGAGTTTAATTTTTTCCTCTGTGCAGAGTCAATGTTCCTCATTTGTCTATTTTCCATTTACTTGTTATGAAATTGAACAGACTACATTCGATTCTAAACAGATTTTATTTTCTTCCTCTGAACTAAACAGAGCAAACATCCCCGAGCAGAGAGTCATATCTGATGGACGAGCAAATTTTACAGCATTGAGCATCCGGGGAAAAATCACTGGAACGTGTTTTTTAAATATATTTGTTTGTATGTTAAGACAACTGAGTGAGAACCTGCCCCTCACGTCACATCTATCATCTACTGTAGGTTTAAATGTCAGAGCCTTCCTGCTTATTTAACATGCTTGAATGATAAATTCAAACTTTCCCATCTAAATATTTTCTGCCTCTCTTTTCATCGGTGTCCTCAAAGTGACCACGACACACTTCTTGTTTGTCCTTCCATCACGCCGGGTTTAACTTCATTACTGTTTGTGTAAGCCGACAACACATTTGACGTCTCTCCAGTTTTAATTATGCTATTTGTCCAAAAACGACGTTTCAGAGTAAGAATAGCATTTCAGTGAATGTCTGGATTCTCTACGGGAGCTGTTAAATTCCGGGGAAACACCGTCATGGTGCAATCAATATACTGGGAATACCGTGTTCCCCCCGTCTTCCATCTTTGTCCACTTGCGTTAATTTGTTCTCATTAAAGACGAACCGTTGGACGGCACTTCTCTTCGTTCCTTCACTTAGTGTTAATTCCTCCAGTTTCTCTTCATAGCACTTGTGAGAACTTGATCCTTTTACACCTGCAATCTGACACTTTTCTCAACGGACTGCTCGTAAATCTGTGATCCAGAGATTCAAGTGTACTCTCAAATTAAGAGTGGAAAAGTAAAATGCATCGCACCTCGAACATCTTTTTATAAATGTACAACTGAAGGCATTAGATGCAGGACTTGTATTAACATAAAGAAGTGTCTTGATGTAAACCCTGCTGTTCTCCGAGTCTTTGAATCCAAACAGAAAAGTGAACTCACGTTGACCCCAGCGGCCCGTACGGGGGTTCAGGTAGTTCGGGTACAGCCCGTTGGGTCGATCCATTTTGGCTAGCAGCTTCCGGATATGCATCACCTGAGACCATCACACACAAAAGTTTTAATCTAAATCAAAACAACCAAAGATTGTCTTTGTGTGAGCATCACTTCTTAGCGTTACCTTCTGGTAGTAGGCAGGGTTCCCTGTCAGATACGTGAGGTGAACGAACTCCATATGAAGAGTCCCGAACTCCGCCAGGATGCTGCTTCCTGCCGACGCCCAACCCCAGTTCCGACCAACGCCGCTGGAGAGGTGGAGGAGAGACAGACAGATTATAACTGGACAAGAGAACTAAATGACACTATGGACCAGCCTTGGCTGACAGGCTTTTAAACTAAGACCTTTAAACATACTGATTTTTAATGTTTATTTAAAAATATACAAAGAAAATAGAAACACGTGAAATGACGGGGTTTAGATAAATCTTAGAAAACAACTGTGACTGTGATATTATGGTAAATGATAAAATGTGAATGATAAAAAACTGTAAATAAAAAGGTTTGAATGCCAGTAACTGTCTCAACACACAAATAAAACATTTCATGCATGACACTGGTTTGCTTCTTCAAGTCTGAGTTCCCCACCTTCATTAAAAAAAAACCACCAGTCAGGAGTGAAACGATTTTCAGTTGGAACTGAATAAATCACAGCATGAAGTTTGTGTCGGTTACAGTGGTGACACACGCACACGCACACACACACACACACACACACACACACACACACACACACACACACACACAC